TAGGGAGACACGATGACTAAGAAATAGCTTAGGGACAGATTCTTTGGGGGGAAAGTCACTTTGAAGGAGTGTTAATATTTGCTTACTGTGGTCAAGATAATTTGGGTCACAGAAATTGTGATCTTATTTACCCAAAAACTTTAAAATGCTTTCTAAGTAAGCTTCATCAGAGCTCAACAAATATGAAATAATAACCAGAAATTAATGAACTCGACAGTTCAACAAGTATTTATTTAATTATAGCCTACCCACTGCCTTGGTTTTGGTGAATATAGCCAACCATAAAAAGATAACCAAAGAAAACATGAAAGTACAAAGACTATTTGCCCTAAAAATTCCAAATATTTCACAGAACGCTACAAATTTGATGTGCATAATATTTAAACAAAGTAGCCCTCCATTAGTTCTGCTTTATAATAAAATAAGTACACCCATATGCTTTACCAAAAAGAATATAAAAAAATATGAACATGCCTAACTATGTCAACACAGAATTCATGGCCACCAGAAATTTTTCAATCTTCCTCCCCTCAAGGTTCAAAGATCCTCCCTGAATATTTGCTTTGTTTTGCCACAGCTTCTCAGCACTCTAAATGTTCAGTTAATCATTTCTGTTTCTGCTTTTGCTCATTCGTTCTGGATGGCTAATAAAACGTCCAGTGCCACTCTGTTGGATGGTCAGAACCATTGCATCTTGCCTTCCACTGAGATGCAAGAGTGTGCTGGGTAACTTCAGTCAAGCCAATCTCCACATGGACGGATGTGCAGACTTTTCCTCCGGACCCCATATTAGCTCCTTATGCAGCCCGAGTGAGCTGGACAGTCTAAAGTCCCATCCGCTACTAATCTGTTCTGTCTCGTAATACTTCCCTGCCTAGAGGGAAGGCATTGACCTTGCCTCAGCTGCCTTAGATGTCTCACAAACATAGGTTCTCAACCTTCCCAATGCTGGCACTCTTTCATACAGTTCCTCATGTTGTGGTGACCCCCCAACCATAAAATTATTTTCACTGCTACTTCATCACTGTCATTTTGCTACTGTTAAGAACCAGGCAACCCCTGTGAAAGGGTCATTCGACCGGTCGTGACCCACAGGTTGAGAACCGCTGTGACCTAGATCTTTGTCATCAACTTCTTGATTCTATTGTCCCCTGTCCTCCCAATGGCCTCTTGATCCAATGATCACAAACTGCACTGATGGCTTATCAAATACTCGATAATCATGAGATCAATCCATGAAACATGTACAAGGTCACACTGGGTCATTTTACAAATGCTAAACTGAAAACTACTCCCATTTGGTTACTCAGTGGGGCTGCTAACCACAAGGTTTGTGATTCAAACCCACCCCTGCTCCTGGAAAGGGTTACAGCTTCAGACACCCACAGGGGCAGTTCTACACTGTCATGCAGGGTTGCTATGAATTGGAATCGACTCAGTGGCAGTGAATCAGGCACTTCATTTATTTACTTTTCCACAGTTTTCTTGGCGTATATGTCACCTATCATAAAATCCAATCATTCAGTCACATCAAGAAGAGTTTTGTACAATCACCACCACAATCAGATTTAGAACACTTCCATCATGCTTGTACTTATTGACAAGGCTCTTGTGAGCCTAGTCAGGTAGATTTCATTTACCAGATTATGTCAAAAGTGCGACTTTTAGGCTTCTTATTGCTTAATCTAAAAGGCAATAATAGAACATCAATTTACCTTACTAAGTTGTTCAGATCCGTCGTCCCATGACTGCCTAACTTCTCCAGTTGTCTGTGTAACTCTTCAGTCAGTTGTTCATTGAAATGATAGAGGTTTAAAGCCCCCATTTTTCCTTTCATCATAATATAGAGTTTTTCATGGAGCGCAAAAAATATATTACCTGGAACTGATACTATAAAGAGAAACAAAAGTATTTTCAAAATAAGCATTAAGAATACAGTCAGTGCATCTGTACGATCACTTGATCAAGCAGAGCCCAGTGACAATGGGCTAAGGGATCAAACCACCTCCTCCAAATAGAACTTGAAAGATCCAGTCCAGGAGAAAGTAAATGTCCGAGGAGTAATTCAGATTCAGGGATCGTCCATATATAGGCAATTGGAAGTCCTTCTGGGGAAAATAAATCTGATTTTATTTCCATGTGTAAAACCTTTCATTGGCATTCAATTCCTTAAAAAGGCCTAGATGGGCCTTCCACCACCTCCTACCTCTCCAGCAGAATTGAGCGTCTTCCCTTCAGTACTTTATAGCCTATGTATATTATAAGTGACTCCTCTTATGCATGTTGTTGCTGTTTCCAGGTGTCCTCCAATAGGTTCTGACTCATAGTGGCTCCACGTGGAACAGAACAAGACACTATCTGATCTGAGCCATTCTCACAGTCCTTGACGTGCCTCAGCCCATTGTTGCAGCCACTGTGACAATCCGTCTTGTCCAGGGTCATCTCCTTTCCACTGGCCTTCTACTTTAGCAAACATGGTTCCCTTCCCCAGGCACTGGCTGCCCCTGATCACATGTCCAAAGTAAAGAGGGTGATGTCTTACCCACCTCACATCTGAGGAGCACTCAGAATGTACTGCCTCTGAAAATCCATGCTACTTTCAGTAATCTTCACCAACGCCATTCAAATGCATACATCCTTCTCCAGTTTGTGAAATAGATGTCCAATGTCCACACGCGTGTGAGGTGACCAAAAACACTATGGTTTCGGGGAGGCACACTTTGTTCCTCAAAGTGACGTGTTTGCTCTTAGACAGTTTAAACCGGTCTCCTGCTGCTGATTTTCCCAAAGCAATGTGTTGCTTCATTTCTTGACTGCTGCTTCTAGGAGTGTTGATTATGGATCCAAGTAAGATGAAATCCTTGACAACTTTAATCTTTTCTCCTCTGATCACGATGTTGTCTCTTGGTCCAGTTGGGAGGAACTTTTGTTTTCCTAATATTGAGATGTAATCCATAATGAAGTCTTTGATCTCTCGTCAAGTCCTGCTTGATGAAAGTTGTATCACTCGTACATCGAAGGTTACAAATGAGCTTTCTCCCACTCCTGATGCTGTATTATTCTTCACACAGTCCAGCTTCTCAGGTTATTTACTCAGCAAAATAATGGAACAAATAGGGTGAAAGAACGCACCTCTGATGTACACCTTTCCTGTTTTCAAACCATGCAGGACCTTTTGCATTGTATCAGGTGCTGCATGAGCACATCTACGTGTTCTAGAATTTATATTCTTCACAATGTTAACCACATTTTGTTATAATCCACATGGATGGATACCTTTGCCAAGGCAATAAAACATAGATAAGCATCTTTCTGGTAGTCTAAGCTTTCAGCCAATTTCCATCTGACATCAGCAATGATCCTTATTCAACATGCTCTTCAAAATTCACTTTGAATTTCGGGCAGTTCTCTGTAAATATTTGCCACAACCTTTAAAAAAAATCATCTCCAATAAGTTTTACTTGCACATGATGTGATATTAATGAGATTGCATGCTAACTTCTGTATTCTTTTGGTAACCTTTCTTTGGAATGGGCATGCATGGATCTCTTCCAGTCAGCTGGCCAAGTTAGCTGACGTCAAAATGCCTTCTTGCAGATGAGGGAGCATCTTCAAGGCTGCATCTATTTGTTGAAACATTTCAATTGACATTCCATCCATTCAAGAAGTTCCCTCACCCCCACCCCCCGCTTTTTTCACCCATGCCTCCAGTTCAGTTTGGATATCTTCCTTTAAAACCACTAATTCTTGATTATACGTTATCTCAGGAAATGTTTGAACACCGACTTATTCTTTTTGGAGATGTGATTCTGTGTTCTTTTATCGTATTTTGATGCTTTGGACACAGTTCAATATTTTGTCTATAGAACTGTTCAATATTGCAACTCGAGGCTAACTGTTTCCCTTCAATTCTTTCCACTTGAGAAAGGCGGACTTTGCTCATCCCTTTTACCTTTCTGGCTCCAGGCCTCTCTGCTCATTTCTTCCAGCTGCTTTGGTTTTCCCTCCGTTCTAGAGCGAGTTACAGATTATCTTCTGGTATCTCTTTTGGTCTTTTCTTCCCCTCCCTCATCCCTGAGCCAGGCGGGCTTGATGGCACCGCACGTCACCAGCTCGGTCCTTATTCGTGTGTGCGCTGGCACGGCCCTGGTGCTGGAGTAAAGGCACAACTGCCCTGTATATCAGGAGCGCCTGTAATTGGCCAGGCCTGCTCTCTGTCTCTTTAATGACCTTTTGGTCTCTTCAGGTAGGATGCCCTTTGTGTCATTCAACCAGGTGTCTGGTCTTCCGTCATTACTGTTCAATGCAATACGTTTTTCTTGATATCTCTAAATTCAGGTAGGATGCGCTCAAGATTCTATTCTGACTCGAGTGGACTTCTTTGATTTTCTGCAGCTTCTACTTGAGCTTCCAGATAAATAACTGCTGGTTGATTATGAAGTCAGCCCCCGGCCTGGTTCTGACTGATGATACTGAGCTTCTCCGTCCGTCATTCTCCAACTGCACAGACGCAGTTGATTTTGACTCCTGCGTCTTTTATCTGCAATGTTCACATGTAGAATGACCATTTCTATTGTTGGTTTTTAAAAAAAGCGTTTCCAATGAATTGGTTATTCATCTTGAAAATTCTATCATGTCAGCTTTGGTATCATTTCTGTCACTAAGGCCATATAACCCAATACTGAACGTAAACTAAAACAATTCCATAACCTGTTCCAGCTACTCCAAATAGTCTCTACTTTATCACGTCCATTCACACCAGCAAGCCCCAATTACCCCTGCTAATTTCTAATCTCCTTCAAGTGTTCCTTGGGATATTACTTCTTCCAAGAGATCCTTTCTGATCCCACAAACAGCTTGCCTCCCACTGTTCAACATTCAAAACAGCACACTTCTGTAGTTTTGCCCTTCTTTTTAGCTGGTCTGCATTCTTTGGTCCAAGGAACATGACATACTGCTTACTCCTCAGTAACTCCTTCATGAGGATTTGGTAGAACCATTCAATGAATGAGTGCATCATGCACATTAACTTCCAGGATAGTGGGTTCTCAATATTATTTTCTTCACGTGCATACTTATTAGTAATACATACTGATAAGACAAGTCTAGCCTACTGATTGATGTGTATACTCAGTCCTTTTCTCAATCTCAGTCTTCACACCAGGCTTCAGCGTCTTTAAGTACAAAATTTGGGTTGTACCATCAGGCCCATTTGACCTAAGTTTGATGAACCGAATGAAGAAAATTACAGCATAATCAACTGCATTTGGTTCCTGTATGTAGAGAGAACTTACCTACTCAACAGTGTCTACATAAAGTGTTGGGTGCTTGTTTGTTTGTTTACTTTAGGTAGAGATTACTCTGGCCACATGAAAAATGGATTGAGCCTACCACACCTTATCTCTCACAGTGATTGTATCTATTGTAATATCCTGCTTTCTCATGCAGGTGGGGAGAAGAAAAGGAAATACTGCACACTCACACTTCTGAATCACAAATAGCTCTCTGCACACTCACTCTTCCTGATCACAAATAGCTCTCTGCACACTCACACTTCTAGATCACAAATAACTCTCTGCACACTCACACTTCTTAATCACAACTAGCTCTCTGCACACTCACACTTCTGGATCACAAATAGCTCTCTGCACACTCACACTTCTGCATCACAAATAGATCTCTGCACACTCACACTTCTGGATCACAAATAGGTCTCTGCACACTCACTCTTCTGGATTACAACTAGCTCTCTGCACACTCACTCTTCTCGATCACAAATAACTCTCTGCACACTCACTCTTCTGGATCACAAATA